GCGGTCTTACTAGAGAAGATTAAAGGAATTTTGGTTTCCCCATTCTTAATCAATAGTAGCGAAAGTCTACTAAATTTTCACTGGCACTGATCAAAGTTTAGCTAACGAGTGAACCGTCCGAATTGATTTAGACCTCTTGAGACGGTAATAGAAAAGTTTTCAAAGGATACAGACCCTTCGCCTTTCTTGTCGAATTATGGTTTACTGAACCTATCAGTTATGACGAAAGATTTATTAAAAACTCAATTTTTTAAGAGATGCATTCGTTTTAGCTGAGGTCCTTAGAGTCATATAGTGATTATAGGACCTATGTGCCAGCGAAATTTCAATAGTTTAGTTTTTTAGTAAACCTCTTCTCATAGCTGGTAAGTTCAGCAAAATGCTCATATTTCGAGAAGAATGGCGAAAGGTCCCCGAATTTTTCTAGTATCATCTGATTCTACTTATACGCGAAATATCAGCTGAAAATGTCTTAATTCAAATCTCTTACTTTATATTTTAGCTAATCCAACAAAATATCGCCAAGGTACTTTAACATATTTTGATAAAATTAATCCAGTTGTTTATTTACAATTATCACCTGATTCTGTATCAACTATGGAACGAATAAATGAATTAATTGATAATGCCGTTCAAGAAAATAATCATAACTCTTCATATGAAATTGGTGATCATATTATTGCTCAATTTGCCGATGATGGAAGTTATTATCGTGCTCGTATCGAATCATATTCAGATACAGCAAAAACATATGCTGTTTACTTTCTTGATTATGGAAATCTTGATGAAAATGTACCTGTTGATCATTTATTTTCTTATCCTGATGAATTAAAACAAATTGAAGCACAAGCTCATAAATATTCTTTAGAAAATCAAACATCTCAAACATGGACAAAATCTGTTCTGCCATTAATTGAAGAGAAACAAAATGAAACAATTGATTTTTATTTCATTAATGAAAATCAATCTATAATACGTATAAAATTTTCTGAAAATGATAATCAAATATATAATAATCAACCAAGAACATTAAATGCAAATATATCAGGTACAAATAAAGATTGTTTTTATATTCATATATTACCTGATAGTGATACACTTATTTGTGAAATGTGTGAATTATTAGAAACATATAAAGGTGAACATCAAACATCAAATCAATGGAATATAAATGATTTATGTATTGTATTTGATAATGAACAAGAAAAATATTTTCGTGGAAAAATTCTTTCAATTAATAATGAGAATTATGATGTACAATGTATTGATTATGGAAATATTCTTGTCAATAAAAGCAATGATGATATTTATTTATTAAATAATGACGAATTATTAAAACAATCACCATTAGCACAAAAATGTCGTCTATATGGTGTTAAAGAAGAAAATCAAAAAAAAGCAATTGAAGAAATTATTAAAAATATTACTCCAACTGAAAATGTTACAATAACAGTTCAAAATGATCAAGATAATTCGTGTATGTTAGTAATGTTATTTCGAAATAATAATGAAATTGTCAATGATCTCTATCAATCAGATAATGATAATCAAGTAAGAAATCATTCATATATCGTGATAAATAGAATATCCAACGATTACTCTATAGAAGTTATTTATACGGTAAAATATTGATATCATAGCTGTCAAAACAGAAATTCTTTTTTAATATCATTCTGATAGACTAGTTTCATTTGGGATATAATAATTAACGATAGTTGTTTAAAAACTGAATATTAAATATATTTTGAAATAAATCTCTTTTTTTAGAAAGAAACAGATACTGAAAAGAAACATGAAACATTACCAATTTCATTTGATTCAGCTATAGCAGCTGATGATTATATGTCAAATGCCGAAACGCCATTTACAGTAAATGATCAACAATTAACATCACCAATTGGTATTCCTCAAGCAAATAGTACACAACAATATTCTGATACAGCAAATGCAACTGTAAACAATTCATCACCATCAACAACATCGATGACAATCGATGGGACAATTGATTTTGGTGAAAATGATCCATCAACAACGAATACAACAATAAAAGATGATACACAAAATGAATCTGTATCATAAAATTAATCTGTGATAGTCGTTTGTTTTCTTTATATTATATTAAATGTTCTAGTAGTTCAACTTAAAAAGAAAAAAAATAAACAAGAAAGCCTCTCTTTTTTTTCATTTTCTAAAACTATTGTAGTTTTTCGTTTTTTCCATGAATGTGAGATGTTATTTTGTTCTTTGTTTCAGAAATAAAAAAGCATAGGAAAAAAAAAGAAGCTGATTTATTCTTCTTAAAATAATATACAGAAAAAAAAGACTTTCAATTGAGTGGAATTAATAGTTCAACAATGACTATACTATTTATTCAATGAATACACAAAAAACACAATTATTTATGTTGATTATAATCATTCAATGATCAAAAATAGATTTCTTTTGTACAATCAATAGAAACATATGTTTTGTTAAATATTGAAGAGAGTAATTAAAAAGTATTCTGTTCTTTATGTACATTTTATTAATAACTTATTAGTGAGAATTGATTTAGATATGAATTGACATAGATGTAATTATGAAAAGATTCAAATAGATATCAATTTGTTGAACCGAATAATCGAAAATAAAAGAAAGTTCATTTGTATGGTTTTATATGTTGAACAAATTCTCATTTTACACTTCTTATTTGAACAAAATTTCTTCAAAGTGAAGCATACATATTTAGTCGCGACGCTTGATTAATAGACAAAAACGCGCTGTATCACGCATTGAACGTATGGCTCATTATGAGTCATATATAAATTTTATTTTACTAACGTCATCTATCATGACATCTCTTCAATCTCGTTCGTGTCTGTCTTATTTAGTTGCTAAGCAATGACGCTGCCTCATACAATATATATTATTCTCCGTCCTATGTTCGTTCTGTTCGTCCGAATGACTAATCACAACGTTCGTCTTGTCCTGTATGTGTCTAGCACTCTTTGCTCGCTGCTACTGCCGATGTAAGCGCGTCCGAGAGACGAGAGAGAAAAAGAGAGGCAAATAAATAGTTTTAGTCTATTTTTATGCTCACATACGCGCATCCTTATTCTAAGCCTGACATATTCTGAGAACGGGCAAACATACGGCGATCTTTTGCTCAATTATACCACTAGTTCTTTCATCTCATAACACAGAAGAAAAAAAAGATTGTATCTTGTTTGATTTTTTCTAGATCTATCTTTACTAGCAAATATCATTTCATCAAGCCAAATCTAATCAATAATCATGTCGAACAAAGAAGAAGAAGTACAACGCGCTAAATTGGCCGAACAAGCCGAACGGTAAGTTATAATAATAGTAATAATTTTTGTTTCCTAGATTTTGAGATTTATATTTTAGATATGATGATATGGCAAACGCTATGAAAAAGGTTACTGAAGCAAATAGTGAATTAACGAATGAAGAACGTAATTTACTTTCGGTTGCTTATAAAAATGTTGTTGGTGCACGTCGTTCATCATGGCGTGTAATTTCAAGTATTGAACAAAAAACTGAAGGTTCAGAACGTAAACAACAAATGGCCAAAGAATATCGTGAAAAAATAGAAAAAGAATTAAAAGATATTTGTCAAGAAGTTTTGGTAAATGAAAAATTATCAAAAAGAAAATTTGATTTTTTTATTCATAATTTTCTTCTTTTGTAGACATTACTTGATAAATTTCTTATTCCAAAAGCAACAACAGCTGAATCAAAAGTTTTCTATTTAAAAATGAAAGGAGATTATTATCGTTATTTAGCTGAAGTTGCTACTGGCGATGAACGACAAAGTAAAGAGAGAAAAAAAAAACAGCAACAAATTAATTATCAAATTATATTTTCTTTAAAATTTTTCTAGAAGTTATTGAAGAATCGCAACGTGCCTATAATGATGCATTTGATATTGCTAAAAATCAAATGCAACCAACACATCCAATTCGTCTTGGTCTTGCTTTGAACTTTTCCGTTTTTTATTATGAAATTCTCAATGCACCAGATCGTGCTTGTCATTTGGCTAAACAAGTAAACACAATTCTTTGTTCTTTCTCTAGAATAACTTTTCTTTATATTTTAGGCTTTTGATGATGCTATTGCTGAACTTGATACACTCAATGAAGATTCATACAAGGATAGTACACTTATCATGCAATTACTTCGAGACAATCTCACATTATGGACGAGCGATGCACCTGATGCCGATGAAGCCAATCCACCTGAAGAACATCAATAAAATTGTTTCGTATAACACTTCCCACATTTTTTTTTCTGTCTGTGTACAACACACACACACACACACGCATACAACCGGTCACCAACCAAATTGACAAAACAACATTAAAAAAAAACAAAACATTTTTTTCTCTTTTTTTTTTTCTTTTTTTCTTCTTTCTCTTAACACTTCTATCAACTGCGCTTCTTTATATTTTTATTCGTTCGTCGATGTCAACTTTCTTCTGTTTTTTTTTCTTCTTCTTCTTCTTCTTCTTCTCTCTTTATCTCTTTGTGTGTGTGTGTTGGTTGTAATCACTTTTTTTTTCTCATTAGCTGTTTATTCATTTTCTTCTTCAACTGTTCGTCTTATTCTTTTGTCTATTCATGTGTTATCGGCATTGTATGTCTTGTGTAGAAAAACGAAGAAAAAACTTGCATACGTTTAACAAAAAAAAAACCATGGAAAAAAAAACAAACCATATACACACACAATAAACTTCTCTTTCTTTTTTCTTAAATACATAAGTTATGATTTTATTAAGATAAAAGTTATAAAATAAAACATTCATGATTTGATTTATCTTATGTATTTTTTCATTTGGAGAAACGTCTAGAAGCTTCTCTCTAACAGCTTGAATATTTTTATTGAAAGAACGACGCAAAAAAAACGAAAACGATTCAGTATTTTAACAATAACAAGCTTATCTGAAAAGAAAAACATTGTTTTCGTTTATTATCGGAATCAAAAAAAGATAACAAAAAAATCAAGCTAAAGATGTCGTTTGCCGATCGATTGCAATAGGTTTTCTCCAATTTTGATAACTGAAAATAGAAGAAAATTTTTAGAAAAAATTTCTTTATAAATTAATTTCTACTTACAAATGTTCATTGGCATTACGCATATGTACTGGTATTGAATAAGGTGTTTGTTTAATAGCTGACATTAAATGATGTTTATGAATAATTATGGATTGTTTAGATTGATATTCATCAAATGCAGCTAATTGAGCATTATAAACCAATGCTTTTATATCCGCACCAGTATACATTTCACAATGTGACAAAAATGTTTCGTCTTCGAATTTAATATTATTTGCTAATTGAATTTTTTTTGTCCAAATTTTTAATATTGATATTATATCTAATTTCGATGGAAAACCAACATATAAATGTTTATCTAAACGACCTGGACGTAATAAAGCTGGATCAATTAAATCCGGCCGAGATGTTGCAGCAATAACAACAATATCTAAGAAAAATTTATAAAATAATTTTTTTTGAAAATTAAAAATATTTACCTCCAAGACTTTCAACACCATCTAATTCAGTTAATAATTGATTGACAACTCGATCAGTAACACCAGCAGAATCTCGACCACGTCTAAAATAGATTAAATTTGCTTAATGAATATATATAATCTCCGATTACCGTGGTACAAGAGCTTCAAATTCATCAAATAGAATAATACACGGTGTAACTGATCGTGCTCGATTAAATAAATCTCGAATATTTTGTTCACTTGATCCAACATATTTATTTAATAATTCTGGACCCTAGAATTTTCTATTAGATTATGAATTAATACGATTGAAAATATTTACTTTAACTTGTATGAAATTGACTTTACATTCGTTTGCTAATGTTTGAGCAAGAAGAGTTTTACCACAACCAGATGGACCATAGAGAAGAACACCAGATATTAATCGTATAGGTGCATTTGCAAAATAATTTGAATGCTAGATAAGAATATTCTTAGATTAGTTCAAAAAAAAATTCTAGTTTTTACTTCAAAACGCCATTGAACTGTTTGAATAAGTTCTTGTTTAAGATCAACCATACCACCTATATCCGACCAATGTAATGTTGTTTGACTAGTTTTCTTTTTATCATCATCAAGTAATTTAACACTAATAGGTTTGAATTCATCAAATGCATAATCAAAATCAATATTTGATAACTGTCTATCTTCTAAAATGTCATTTCATAGTATGAGAAAATAATTTATTAATGATTGTCTTACCAAAACTCATCCACGAATGTAATAAAGCATTATCAATTAATGTATATAAATCTTTAATTACAAATGATTCAGTTCGATTGACAATAGAATGTAAAAGTGTATCCGATATAGTTTGTTTTTTATTTTCAATTAATTGTTTAATAATTGATGTTCGTTGAATCTAATGATTTAAAAGAAAAATATATATAGAAATTTATAATTAATGAAATAAGTTACAATATTCAATGGTTCAATCGTCAATATTTGTGAAGCAAATAAAGGTGTTTCCTCAGTAAATTGTCGATGAATATTAGTTATTTGTTTTACAATAGGAATAATAATAAATTGTTTATGAATTTGTTGAGTACGATTAAATAATTCACGTATAGCTAAAATTTATTAAATGAAATATTTTTTTACTGAATAAAAAAAGAATAATTTAACTTACAAAGTGATAATTTTTGTGTAGCTAATATAATATTTGCATCGGTAATTGTTGTTTCATTAGGAAATAAATCATCAAAATGATCAAGAATTAATATGGATGGTTGACGAAAGATCATTTCATCAATTGTTTGAGAAAATGATGTTACTATATTATCAAGTTTTCTACCTTTAAAACTAAGACAATCAACAAGTTTATAATAAATTAAATGTTTATTCCATAAACGTTGGCAACATTCACCAACAATTGTTTTCTTTCCACTACCACTTCGACCTGTAATTATAACATTTTTCAATAAATAATCATTCCAAGAAGATTTCTTTATATCAATTTGTAATTGTAATTCAAGAATTTGTAAAAGACGATCAATATTATTTGTTAATGCTCTATAAAAACAAAAGAATTTTTCAATGTAATTTTATTCAAAGTTTAACTTTCAAATGATTTGACTTTGGGACATATCTAGATCTCATATTTTCACTTTACTAAATTATTATTTCAATTATATACCAAAAAACAAGACAACCAATAAAAATAACTTTTTTCAAATCCTGTTTTAATAGTTTAAAAGTTAATATATAATTTTGTATTAAGTCTTTCCAGTGTTTTATCTAGCGGGTGGGTTCGGCGCCCACCTAGTAAACTAGACTTAGAGAAAATAGTAACCTAGATAAAATACTAAGTCTTTCACTATTACAGAAAGTTCTTGATCATTATCGAATAGACGATGTGGCCAAACGTTATGGAATTCTAGAGAATGGGCACGTTTTTGAGGGATATCTCAAAGCGATTCTCGAGAAAACAACGTTTTGCACAAGTTTTCAGAATATGAACTCATCCCTTGTCAAATACGGATGTGTTGAATAAAAAATAAAATATAGGTTTCATTACAGAGCTTAGTACCCTAGATATGATGATTTCATGAATGGACGATTGTTTCACTTTTATCATTCTATCAAAATGTCTTCCATCAGCTCAGTAACTTATTGATTTTAAATCTTTCTCCTGCAGCGGTTAGCTAACCATGCCCTATACTAATATATGATTGAGAAATGCTTACAAAGATTGTTCTTGTTGATCAATAAAACTTTCAACGATTAATTTTGAACGATATGCTTCAATTTCATTAAATTTCCATTCTTTTTTTTCTTCAAGTGCAAATGTATGTTGTCCAATTGTTTCTTCATTTATTTCTATATAAATTGGACTATCACTTATTATTGGTTCATCTTCAGCACTCAAATGAATTTGATAAATAACTAAATTAAATAAAAACAATTCAATTCAAATAAGTTTTAAAAGAAAAAAGAAACAAACTATTATTAAGTTTAACAAAACACTCATGAGTAATTAAAATAGGTTGATCATTATTTAAACATTGTCGAATCCAAACACGAAAATAATGTTGAAGTAGAAGTATTGGTTCATTGCATTGATTAGAAATAAATTCAATTCTTGTTCGATTTCTTGGTCTTCGTGTTGTATTACAAACAATTATTTTATCTGTTGAATGAATACAATTTAATGAAGCAAATGAATGATTTAATTTAATATGTTTTGAACGACAATTATTATCATTTGTTAATTGAATCAAAAGAAAATAAGTTTTTGGTATATGTTCAGGTAATGTATCTGATGTTAAAGATTTAATCTAAATAAAATTTCATTAAGAAATATTTTTAAAAATTATCTTACTTCTTTACTTGATCGATAGACAGTTATTTTAGCAACAAATATATTTGGCCAACCCGTACCATCATCATCATCGGATGACCAATCAGAACGATTAATACGTGCAATTGTTGGATTAATTGATGTTGCTTCATCAATTTCAACACGAAAGATTCGTCGATGACGACCAGGTACTAATGCAAGTTTTGATTTTGATTGTAGATCAGAAGATGTTTTTTTCGGTTCACTGAATGATATCATAGGAGAATTAGGTAATGATGAATAAACAAATTTTCCAATTGATCGAATTACACTTTTCAATGATTTTGATGGTTCAATAAAAGCATCCGAAGGAAGAGAAGGAATTTGTTCAGGTTGAACAATTGATTGATCACGAAATTCTGGTATAACTGTTACGCGAGTAGATGAACTAATCATAGAAAAATCGATATTATCATTTGGTTCAATTTGTACTAAATAATAGAAAATGTTATAATTTTCCAGAAAATATAACAAGAATAACATACCAACTCGAAGAAGAATACATAAACCTGATATCCATATTGGAAAAATCATATTTAAAGATAATATTCGTATTTGATTAAGAAAAACTTCTTCAGTCATTTCAGTATTATTTTGCTAAAAAATATACGACACATTTTAATGTCGGATAGACAAAATTAAAATTTCGGGTGGGCGCCATGTGCCCGCTCTATTAAACACACTTTCAACATTGTTTCTCATCTGTATATAAATGATCGGCGAAGGTATTCGATTTTATTTTCAAATAAACTTTATACAACTGATTTCGTTTTCTACAATTAATAAATAATAAACGAAACTCATATCTAACCCACTAAATCATAATTATTGATCAAATACAAAAGTTTTCAATTCAATTCTAATTGTAGCAAAAAACCATAGCGAATCATTAATGAGAGTTTTCTTTCCACTTACTAGAATTTCCCAATCATCAACAGATACTGGACTAAATATGACACTTTGACAATCAATAGATTCATTTTGTTCGTCAATTTCATACTAGAAATATATATAGCTGAATGAGATATTTTTGTTTCATATATCTTAACTCACAAATTGATCTTTTTGAATATTTATTTTCATTGCAAAAAATCCATTGATTGAAAATTGTCCTTCAGTCAATGTATAATCGGCAAATGTTGAAAAATACATGTATTGATTATCTCCCATATTTAATTTTACTATAGATACCTATATGAATTTACATACATATATATAAATACATGTTTTCCTCATATAACAATTTTTATTTTACTTTAAAATCTAATGCATTTCGAACATTGCTATTGAATGTACGTGGATTAATACCAAGAAAACAATTTCGATTTTTTGAATGAATACATCTTAGAATATGCGAAGGCATATCTATTATAATATAAAATATATATTAGTATAATAAAATAGATAAACAATGATCTCTATATTTATTCTTATATCAAAAGATAAAAAATTATATATTTTCAACTTTAATTCATTTTTTATAAAGATTATCAAGAAGAAAATGATAAACGATAGGGAGTTGATTTATGTTGAAAATAATTTGATGATATACAATAATAAATTAAGCTTCTAAGTAGTGTGTTTGACACTATGATCTTCTTCTTACAATTGTAGATAATAATAGTTTTTAGATGATAGATAAATCTTTTTTCTTTTACTTGAAATACTCAAGAACTTAATGATTGGATCAGTTAGCAAGCAGTACAAAATAATTTTTAGCGACCTCCGGAGGGCGCTAGTATTCGAGAGAAGAAGAACTAATCTAGAAAGAAGTTTTATGTTATTTCTATTGTAAATACTATAAGCTTTGATTTAATAATTCAATAAACTTATATTTTCTCTCATGGGTTAAAAATTAATGCATTCAAATGAATTAATAATAACTTGATTGAACATTGATGATATAATTAAATAAAGATAATATATCTCTTATATGTTGATTATTCTAGAATAGAATAAGATATTTTGTACACAGTATACATTCATGCCATGAACATAGTAACAGTTTTGAAAAAAACTAATGATTAAAATTGAATGTCAGTGTGTTGTAATATAATGGTAACCAAATGAATAATAATTATGATTGTGTCGTGTGATTCATCAATAGTTTCGTTATTCATACTTTATAAAATCGATGACTACAAAACAATTTTGAATTTACGAGCCATAAGCATAATTTTTGGTCGATGGAGACTGCAGTCGTTGATTAATTTGACACACATCACTTTTTCTAAGTTATCGGTTGAACTTAGAAGTTCTACGTTCTCAAATTTTCATTTATGCATTTCTTTTTGTTTTATTTGGCTTGTTCAATGGTGACACATATTTACAATGTAGATTATGTCAAGTCTCTGACTATTAATCTGTAATTTCTTTTTTCATAATAATAGAATAAAATCTCTTGTCATTCTTTACAAATATTCACTACTAGTTTATTTATTTTTTCTTACAAATTCATATTCTAAAAACTATATTTCATATATAGATATCAACTGGTGTGCAACATGAATTTTGTTTCTATTTCGAATCTTATATAGTTGTTTTCATTACATATTTAATATTGTTTATTTTCTTATTTGTTGTCATATGTTTCTCACCGTATCGACACACTTGTTTTTGTCAAATTTTATAGTACTAAAAGTGTTCCTATCATCAATAGTTTGATGATCTAAACATTAAATTTAAATATGAGTTAATAAATTAAATTTTCATTTTTTCGTGTTTGTAATTAACGATCTATATTAAACTTCAAATCGTTCAATCTATGCTACAATGATTAAATAATAAATTTGTCCGATATTTATTGAAATAATATCATTATTGAGCGACTATGAAATTAGTAATGATGTTTTCTTATCCTCATAGGTGTAAGTCTGGATGTGATAAACAAAAAATATTCACCCGCATCCATTCCCAAGATGATGTCGTATGTTTAGTTTTGTCTAACGGAGTAAAAAAGACATTTCTTAAAAATCATATTGATATATCTATGAAACTTACTTTCAAAAGAAACAATCAATACAAAGTAAAGCATAAAAAACTGATACTTTTTAAACTTTTATTACAAACAAATGATCTCAAGAAAAATAGATACAATAAAAAAGCTCTTAAAAATGAACAGTTAAAACATTTGTTCTACATTGAATTAAATAACAAAATAGGGAACACAATGTTCTAAGCTAATTTAAACACTTCAATCTCAGATGTACTGAAGTTCTTAGCTCCTGTGAATGTATTTTTACCTTTACCCGTTGTGTCATTATATGAAGTAGGAAAAATAGTATAGCTAGAATAGTCGCTGTTACTGTTATCACATACACGCATATCGGCGCCGCTGCCGAATCTAGGTCCAGAGTCACTATCATCATAAATAGCAATTTCTACATGATCATACTTGATAGTATATTTTGTAGGTGGAATATTGTGAGGATTTGTTAATGTGAACAAAAATGCTGTTTCATCATTCTGATACTTTTGAGATGAAGTCCATGCAATGCTTGTATAACCTCCAAATATATAGTTATTGTTTGATTGAATAATACTTATTGTTGGTCCTTTATTGTCACAACGTGAATGGAATGCACTTGCACCAAATCCATCACGTGTTGCTTTGTATATTAGTTCCCATTTTTGATTACTCTTACCATAAAACTCATTAAGTTTTACTTTATGTTCTAGACGAAGTAATGTTCCATTCGGAAAAGTATTCTCAATAGCCAAGCGCTCTTCTTCTTCTTTTTCTTTTTGTTGACGTTTTCGATCAGGTTCTTTTAATATATAAATCAGATTGTCTATACAAAAGTAGTCTGCTTCTATAATAAGACGTTGACGAAGTGATTCATTCGTCATTATATCACTGGGTATGCTGTCCGTTCTTAAATATTCTAGAATATATTCAAATAACTTTCCATTACGATCAATGAAGATACTATTATCATTTGGATCTCTTTCAAGTTCCCATTTTTTCGAGAAGAGTGCAGCGAAGAAAGTATTTTTCACTTTTGTTAGTGTATCAACACTTGTAGTATGTTTTACACCACCAACATCGAGTATAACTTTGCCTTTAATTGATGTTGTTGATAATTTAAGTTTGATATCTTTCCATTCTCTTTCTTCATCAGATACATTAGCCAGTTTATTCTCTAAATCACCACTTATTTGTATCGCTTGGTCACACAATTTCTCACTGGTTCGAATATAATCACTGTCCTCATTCAGTTTTGAAATAATATCCTCATGAACTTTTTCAAAACGACTGCTTAATTGTTTTGTGTCGTTTAGAAGTGTATCTAAGTTTGATTCCATTTGAAAGATTTTCTTTTATGAAAATATCGTCTTTGTTGATTGTATTTGTTGTTATTTGTTTTTATGCCAGTGAAAGTTAACGGTAACGTTGCTTGTATTGTTAACTGTTTTGTTTTCGTTTCCGACACCAAATAGCACAATACTCAAAACCTTACAAGTAAAAAAAAGGAGGTAACGATATATAAACGGTAAATATTTATCTTCACCTTTTCTCCACCGACCTTCTGCTACGTCACATTCTAGAATGCGACATAAGACAGGACTAGATAAGAACTTTATCCATATATGTTTATTCTCTTTCTTTTCAGTATATATATAATGTTATATTCTTTCTGCTAAGTATTTTTTCCAAGTCTTATTGAATACAATATAGAATTAATTAAACTGCTTTAACAAATGATCAAACGAAAGTTTTATTTACTACTCATTTCATTTTTGTTTTCTCTTTTTTATGTACATTATTAAACTTTAAAACAAGGACAGAATTGTGTCATACTTTCGAGTAATTAAAACGTCAGACACCAGCTTCTACACTGGTAAGGTCATATATCTTACATCCCTTTTAATATTTTTTTGTCTTTCTTCGTCATGGTTCACTAATATGCGACGCTATTGTTCTTTTTATACTCTCTTTATTCGTTATTCATATACTCATTTTACTCATCTTCTTCATCATCGTAGTATATTATTTTTTGAACTTATTTGTATTCGAAATAAAACTCATCATTTGATCTATATTCTGGATAGTATTCACATAGTATGATATTCAATATAGGGTAGGCTATTTACAGTGAACTCTCTTCTAGTTTTGACAGACTTTTCGGTCCGTCATCATCAGTCCTAGCTTATGTGACCTAGTCCGTTTGGTTGATATCCACTCTAGTTTAGAACCTAGTAGAATTAAACTATGGCGACTCTGCGCGTTGATCGGTACTGACACTATTGCGTACCTATCTGATATACGAAGATTGAAATGAAATACCTATCTATGTTTTAAGAAACTTAGATACGCACGAACACCCTAATATTTTGTTCTCTTGTTGTTCGCTTATGACATATATATCGTAGAAAGTTACCTGTTGTATTTGTATGTTTCTTGTATGTCGGAATGTAATCAATTGATTTTGTAAATAAACTATTAATTAGAAGGCGAACTAATAATAACAGATTCAAGTTGTTGCATGTCTCTAGTATATCTAAGCTCTAACGATCTTAGAATACCGATTGAATTTTATAGAATCTATATATTACCTTGGCCTAATGAATAACTACGTGAATTATTTTGTTATTGATAATTATAGATATTAATGTTATTTTTGTCCTTATGTTTGTCACATATTTATTGTATTCGAATTTTTGCGTCATTAAATAAATTCTAAACACAATACAATCACCTGTCGTAAGCTTGATCAATCTGTATATAGTTGCTTTTAACCAAAATCACATTTATCAGACGCGTGTAAAAATTTCAATGAAAATTTTTTCTAAAGAACAAAATAACGAACATCAAAAGTTAATTAATAATAATGATGATAAGTGTCAATATCATTCATCTCGTCTTGAATGGGCGGAATTTTCTTGGACTCGATGGTTACATCTATTATGTTGGTGGTGGATTAGTCCTACTCTTTCCGAAGGTTCCAAACGATTATTAACAGAAAATGATCTTGATAATCTACCAAATACAGATAAATCTTCTGTTTTATTGCATCGATTAGAATCTTATGACTGGACATCAACATCAACATGGAAAATAATAATTCAAGAATTTTGGCAAGAATATATATTGGCGGGTTTATATTGTTTACCTTATTTAATTTCACGTATTGCTCAACCACTATTACTTCGCAGTATTGTTTTAAATACAACGAACGAAAATAGATCATTTTTCACAGCTTATATATTTGTTATATTATTATGTTTATTTGGTATTTTACAAGCTTTATTTGATCATCAAATTTATTTTAATTCAATGCGTGTAGGAATAAGAATTCGTAATGCACTTTCAGCCATTATCTATAAACATGCATTATCAATTAAATCTACAGTATGGCAATATACGAATACAGGTCAAATTATTAATTTAATTGCGAATGATACATCGAAATTTGAAGAAATATGTTCACGGTTACATTTTCTATGGGAAGGACCTGTTGAAGCTGTGATTATATTTATCTTTCTTTGGTGGATTATACATCCAATACCAGCACTCTTTGCATATCTTGTATATTTTTTAAGTATTATCATATTATTTCTAACTGGTCGTCATCTTAGTAAATATCGCGATCTAAAAACTTCGTGTAGTGATAAACGTGTTCATGTGTTAGACGAATTCATTCATGGATATGAAGTAATTAAAATGTATAATTGGGAAAAACTAATGGAAGATCGAATAAATCGAATACGTCAAAATGAATTTGATATTTTAAAACAAGCTTATTATTTACGTGCTCTTAATACTATACATTCTTTTATTATAGTACCAATTCTTGCATTAACTACTTTTGGTACTGCTTGGTTTTTAGATCATCGATTAAATCCAATAGATTGTTTTACAGTTCTTGCATTCTTTGGTCTATTACGAAATCAGATTATGTTTATAATGCCATTGCTTACTGAAAGATTAACAGATGTACAAGTTGCATCGAAAAGAATAGATGCATTTATGCGATTAACAATAACACAAGATCAATATTCATCATCGTCATCTAATACACAAAAAGGACAAATTTCTATGTCAAATGCATTCTTTTCATGGTATGATGATCAACCTTGTCTCTCATCACTGAATATATTTATTAAACCAAAAACATTTGTTGGTATTGTTGGATCAGTTGGATGTGGTAAATCATCTTTACTTGCTGCTATTCTTGGTGAAATGAATCTTATCAATGGCGAACTAAATACAAATTCGAATTTATTTTCTTATGCAGCTCAAGCATCATGGATCTTTACAGGAACAATTCGTACAAATATTCTTCTCAATCGATCATTTGATGAACAACGTTATCGGAATGTTATTTATGCATGTTGTCTTGATCTTGATTTTATTCAATTTGGTGTTAGTGGTGATTTAACAATGATCGGAGAACGAGGGGTTAATTTAAGTGGTGGACAAAAAGCACGAATTTCATTAGCTCGAGCTATCTATAATGAAGCTGATGTTTATTTATTTGATGATCCTTTAGCAGCTGTTGATGGTACTGTAGCTAAACAAATTTATGAACGATGTTTTAGTTCAATAGGATTATTGAAAAATAAAACACGTCTACTAGTAACTCATCAAACACAATTTCTTATAGATGCAGATCAAATCATTTTTCTTTCGAATGGTCATATTGATGAACAAGGATATTTAGAGAAGTATACACTTACGAAAGATATAACAGATGAAAAACAAACATCAGTATTAGACAATTTAATAAATGAACCTGATATTCAACCTATTATTACTGAAGAAACAGCAATTAGTGGAAAAGTAAAATGGAATTTATGGTTTTATTTACTTACTGCACCACCACTCGGTCTATGTGGATTATTTTTACTTATTATTTTACTTATCCTAGGTGAATTATTTTATGATGGAACAAATTATTGGCTTAGTATATGGTTAAAACAATCACATAAAAATCATCAAGATTTTTCAACATTTGCTTATATCTATTTTGGTTTAATAATAGGAACAATCGTAATAGATGCTTTACGTACAATATTTTTTTTTATTGTTATTTTATACGGAACAAATCATTTACATAATAATATGTTAAAAGGTTTGTTATATACATCAATACAATTCTTTGAAAGTAATTCAAGTGGACGAATTCTTAGTCGAGCAAGTAAAGATCAAAAAGTAATCGATGAATTATTACCAACAAATTTACTTTATGCAATTAAATCATCTTTAATGTCAATTGGTGCTACTATAATTATTTGTCTTATTAAACCATATATTTTATTAGTTATTATTGGTTTAATACCATTTGTATTAATATTATGTCGATTTTATTTACAATCAAAAAGTCAATTAAAACGACTTGAAAGTATCACACGAAGTCCTATTTATGATCTTCTTTCATCATCACTCAATGGTGTAGTTACTATTCGTGCATTCAAAATTCATTATCATTTCATTGAGTTATTTACTAATCGAATCGATAAAAATACACGTGCATACATCAATATGCAAGGTGCAGCAAGATGGTTTGCTTTACGACTTAATCTTTTATCATTTATAAATACATTTTCAACTGCAATATTATTGATAATATTTCGTAATGAAATAGATTCATCATTAATTGCACTTTGTTTAATGTATACGATATCGATACCAAAATCATTTCAATTATCTATTCAACAATTTTTTGATGCAGATTTATTGATGACAAGTGTTGAACGTATTTATGAATATTCAAAACTACCATCTGAAGAAGAAGAACAACAGGATAATCAACAACGATTAATAAAAACTTCACCAGATTGGCCAATTTATGGAAAAATACAATTTATAAATTATTCATTACATCATCGATCAGGTTTAGAATCAGTTTTAAAAAATCTCAATATAGAAATAAAATCAACTGAAAAAATTGGTATTATTGGTCGAACTGGTGCTGGAAAATCATCACTTTTCAAAGGAATTTTTCGTTTTATATCTCAATCAAATATTCATGGTCATATTCTTATTGATGATGTTGATATAAGTCGAATTAAACTTAAACATCTTCGATCTCATCTTAGTATTATTCCACAAGAACCTATATTATTTAGTGGTACACTTAGATATAATCTTGATCCATTCAATATTTATTCTGATGAACAATGTTGGATGGCACTTGATGATGTTCAACTTAAACAGTTTATTACTAATCATTCGATTGGTCTTCAAATGTTTATTAATGACTCAGGTAGTAATTTAAGTACTGGTCAATGTCAATTGATATGTATTGCACGAGCAATATTACAAAAAAATAAAATTTTACTAATTGATGAAGCAACATCAAGTGTTGATAAAAAAACAGATGATATCATTCAAAAAGTAATTACAAATAAATTTCATGATCGAACTGTTTTAACTATTGCTCATCGATTGAATACAGTAGCGAAATGTGATCGAATTCTTGTGTTAGATAAAGGTATTATTGTGAATTTTGATACACCAATGAATATTTTAAATCAATATCTATAGTCATATATAATAAATTTTTTTTTATACTTGTTTGTTTACTACTTTATACTTACAATAAAATATTTCGATAATTTGAAGTGTTTAATTTATCATAATAAAGATAAAATTAAGTTTTATACTTATTTTAGGATAGATTTCTCAAATACGATTTAGTTATTTTGATTAATTCTATTCGATCAATATTCAAATGAATCTCTCAATAATAATAATAATTCATAAAAAACAAAATAATATTCATATCTGATTACACATTCTATTTCAACTAACAATGGAATCATATTAGACTTCTTTTTCTTCTTCGTATTATTTATTTTTGTATTAAATGAACATTTTTTAAAATCTTTTCAAAAATCAGTTTATCATGTATATATATCTATATATTGGGAAGTTCCCTTGAATTAGATAAGACACAGTTCGCATCTCTCTTGATACTATTCTATAGTCTTCGTCGTCCTCGTCGCCATGAGAAATCCATCACTTCTATCATCTACATCATCGTGCGAACACATTTGTTTCTTCTCTCTTCTTCTTCTTCTTCTTCTTCTTTATGACTTTGCTGCTTGCCCGAGAAGCAATTTGCTATGAAGGCAATGGTAGAATCGATAGACGTCAAATGTATGCATCCGTCTGCTTGCATACAACCATCCAGTGCACAGCATCTAATTCATCAATTGGATTGTGTGTGTATGTATGTACGTAGAAGGAAAAAGAGAAGGCAATGCGATCGCTTGCATTCACATATACACACTACTTGAAACAACGACATATAAGCATTCGTCCGTCGACGGGAATAAGCAAACGAAGAAAGGAAGAGGAAAGAAGCTATACAATGGTTGCCCTATGCTTTGTGTATATGAAGAGAAATTGCTCTCGTTCATATAGAAAAAGAAAACGAGAGAGAGAGCGAGAGAAAATAAGAGAGGGAAAGAGCAAGCAACGTAGAACTGCTTGCTTCACTCGCTATACAACGCAAGACATACACACATCTTCTTTTTTTACATCGAAACTAGCGCCTCTCGCTTCATAGTTTTATTTCGACCTCTGTCGCCCTCTTTTTACTTTCACCCGCCAAAGCGAAGTAAGCATACATTGTTGTATTGAGTAAAATATTTTTCTATCTATTTTATTTTTCAAATAGATTAATTAATCAATCATGCCACGCGCACCAAAACAAAAAGATCCTAATGCACCAAAACGTCCATTATCAGCATTTTTTATTTTTTCACAAGATGAAAGACCAAAAATAAAAGTAACAAATGCTAGTTTATCTGTTGCTGATGTTGCTAAAGTCATTGGAGAAAGATGGCGTGCAGCCCCTGATGATTTAAAACGTAAATATGAAAAAGCAGCTAAAGAAGCGAAAGAACGTTATGAAATTGAACTACAAGCATACAAACAAACAGGTAATGTATTATAAATACATCTATCTATATCCATATTAATATTTCAATCGAAAAATTCCTGTCATTTTATTGTAGCTGAATATACTCAATCAAAAGTACGGGCTTAAAAAAAATATAAAATAATTCTTCGAGAATGATCATTCATTTATTCATCTAGATATTCTGTTTTTTTTCTCTCTCTATCTCACTATGTAGTATTATTTGTTGTTTTGTGTGTGTGTCTTTTTGGACTGTATATTGTACAGAAAAAGTTTATTGGGTATTGAAATAATGTGCATGCGTTTTTTCTTTTCTTTGTTGTTATAAGATATATAGATTTATGTGCTTGTTTATTTTTGCTTTATCTCTAACAAAATAAAATGTATTCTATCTTATAGATAGATTGAAAATAAGACAAAAAATAAATGAGATTGTTTAAAACATCAGATAATCGGTAATTTTTCTTTTATATATGACATGATGCATGGATGAAATATGATCAAAGGATAAATTTTTGAATGGAGCATCTGCTGTTTCTTTCTTTTTTCGATTGTTTAATGAAATGAATGAAACCATTGGCCGTCATGGATCATTTTATTCGTGACCTCATTATAGTCTTGCAGGTGATTATGAATTGATTCGATTCTAATGGAACATTTACAAAATTTGAATAAATTTTATCATTGATAATTCATTACATACTACTGTCCATTTCAAAATAGAAAGTGGATGATTATTTTTTAACTAACATTTGAAAAGAAGCGATGTGAACGCCCCGAAATTCGTAGAAAGTTGTAATCGGATATTTTCAAAAATTTGCTTTTTTCGCCTACGTTATATTGGTAGTAGTTCATTTGAGTTTTTAATGAAATTATATATGAAAAACAAGGAGAGATTGATTATTAGAAATACTTGAATAGAGCTATAACATTTACTTATGTGTTGTTTTTCTGATGAAATTTTATTGTGATAATTTATGAAAGTATATTTTTGTTTGCTGTATAGCAAATGAACAAATACAAATGATCGATTGTATTTTAAATAAAAGTCTGATGCTTCTCTTCATTGATAAATCTTCGAAGAATGAATAGATAGTTTTAAAACAAGAATTTGCAAGTTTTATTTAATTCAGCAAAAGATAAATTTTCTTGAAAATATGATTGAGATTTTCGAATAGAACAAAAAATAAAGATTTCTACATAAAATTGATCAAAAACTGAATAAATTATTCTGACAAAAAATATTCCCTGTAGCAACGTCAAAAATAAGAATGTCGAATAATAGAAATATTAACCAAAAAAAAAGAATAGATGGGTGGGTCTCATCTTCATCTCACACCGACATCCATTTGTTAGAATCGCTTGAAAATCTTTACAAACAGAAGATGTGAGCAAGCTAGTCAACTGAATTCAATTCAATTAGATTCGGTTAATATGTTTTTTTAGTATTAATCTTATTTCTTCTATCTGCAGGAATCACGTGATGTTTTTCTTAATTCAAAATTTATATTATCTTGATATATTATTTAAATTTAATAAAAATATAATATGAACTAAACGGATCAATTCAGAATGTGAATGAAAATTTTGAAATGCCATATCAAATGATCTTATATTTTATTTCGTAGTATATTGTATCGAACATAGTCATATAATACAAAAGAACAGATGTTTATTGATAGATAGAAGTTTAAAACTAGCAGTTTACAAATATTAAAATTCTAAAATGTTACAGTTAATGATGATATATTGTATTATTTCTGTAGAAATAAACTAAACTGGTTGATTAGAAGGTCAATTTTATTTATTTGAAATTTCAATAGTTCTGCAATATTCATCTGTAATGCTTCTTTTGACTGTTTTAATATTCAAATTCATTCTAATAATTCGTTAAGTGTAGGTTTAAATTAACCCTTTACCCAAGCAGACAAGCACAAAACAACGCATAAAAACGTTGAAATTTTAACGAAAATAAAGTCAAGAAAAACGCACATTTTAAGAGTTAACAACGCATTCAATTTTTTCAAAACGTTAGATCTTACAGAATAACACGTTTTTGCGTATCTTTTGATAAGTTTTGTCAATCTTGATGATGTAGTTAGAGAGACCATGATCCAGATCATCATGCATTAGGGTAGGATCGACAATATTGTACTGCTGATCATGTATTACGTCTATTTGTAACGATTTATATGATAATAATTTATCTGGCAGCTTTAATGAAGCGAGAAAAATGATTTTAAGTCAGATATGAGCATTTGAGACCCTATCTGTTATTTACTGGATACTATTCTAAGTATGTTCCAAGCAAAGTACCGACTTCTGGTTTAACTCTCACTTGGAACTATAATTGCTTATCTGTGTTGAATATCGTTCTTTAGCATGCTGGATTTACTACTAGTGAAGAAATACTTTTCATACATCTGCTCAGTTCTAATATTCGATTTAGTTGTTCAGAACAACATTTAAAGTATTTTCTAAATTGTATGAAAATTTAATATTAATTTGATTTGATTTCTTGACTGAGTTAATATATTTGAGAATACAATGTTTAACGAAAGTAGCATGATGAATTCTATTTAATTTATATTTACTTTTTACTATAAAAATTACACATAATTTATAGAAGTGTGAAAAAATAATTTAGTCATTTCTATTCATATTTCTTTGAATGAGATTGTAAACTTTAGTATATTTGCTTGTTAATTAAAGTCATATTAAATTTTTCATATTGAAAAAAAGTAACAATAGATAATAAAATTCTGTTTCTTACAAGCGATAATTTATAGAGACAAAATTCTTTTAACATTTTGAAAAAAATGAATAAGATAGGATCAACTGATACTGATTTCACTTCTGGTAGTATCGATATGTACTATTCAAATTTTAGTATAAAAATAAACAGTAAATGAGATGATCTAATAAATCATTACATGAAACTAATAGTATAACATTCTGCACTATTAGATATCGTAAATTTATTTATTTTAATGACCTTGAAATAGTTTTTGTTAAAATTTCATATTGAACACTTTCAATTGAACAGTATTCGATTACATGAATACCTTGAAGTCAGTACATTTAGTAAAAATTTGACATGTATAAAATGATTTCTCTGTTCATATAAGTGTTTAAGTAATTTGTCCATTTAATTGAATTTATCATACATATTTCGGCATTCAATTTACTTGGTGTGTAAATGTCGCTGTCGTTATTTCTATTATTTTTATTATTGATTGAGTGGTAACAAATTGAATGTGTACATAGCTGTTCTTTCTCTCTCTCTTTTTAGTTTATACACTCTGCAATTAGAGTGGGTTGTTCATGAGAATTAAGTGTGACCTGCCTGCCATCAAAAGAAAAAAAAATTTTTTTTTTACTTCACTTTTTTATTTTAATTTGTTCATATCGTTCAATCATCGTATTTTACTTTATCGACTTTTATCAACTCATATTACATTCTTTTCTTTTGCGAATATCAAGAAAAGAAAGGAACAAATTAATATCTATCAAGGATGTCTAATATATACAAATATATCTTTTATGAGACATTCTTATCTTTCCACTTGATCTAGTTATATATACGAAATATATACATATATACGTCTGAAGAAGACGAGACACTCAATCTATTTGTATGTATTGATTGAGTAATGCGAGATTTTTCTTCTTTTCAAAAATCTTCTTGAATAAATGTGTGTTAATGGATTCAGATTATTATAGGAAGATACACTCTACTTGAAGTTTTTCTCTTTTTGTATTCTTTCAATGTCAATAGTTTAACAACGGCACTTTATATATCTATTCTAAAAGCATTCTATTTTCTTATACGATTGAAGATGTATGCCCGGAAGATGACTCAAATCTATTTAATCTTATCGTCTATGTATGTATGTTAACACGTACTCTTGAAAAACGATAAAGTTTTTCTATATATAGATGTGTCTATGTGAAAGCAACATACTAACACATTCATCGATAAATATATAACAGTAGACATATTTTCACGTTATTTGACACTGACGAGATCAATATCCGGTTGTTAAGAATATTTATTTCTTTTCATTTGCTCGTTTTTTATTACTTAAAGTGAATATTTACTAAATAAGAGAGAGAGAGAGAAGAGAAAAAAATTCAACTCATACATATGTCGTTACTTTACTTCTTGTCAATTATATGAACTGTTTTATGATGATGATGATGTGTGTTTACAAAAAAAGATAATCATTTTGCACGCACAATTGTGTCTATATCTCTATTGCTAATTGGAGTAAATGTATGAGTTTAAAAAAGAGGAAGTGATGATCTTCTTACGTCATATTCTAACGAATATTTAAACTAATGATTGTAATCTTACTCGTCATACAATAGACAATGTTGTACTAGACAGATATCTAATAGAAAATTGTTTTTTCTTTTCCATGACGTAATTTATTTTTTATACAATTTCAATTAATTTTCTTATCGTCATTATCGTCTATATACTATTAAAAAGCACAACACAATAATAATTTTTTATATGTGATCATACTGTTCCTTATCATTATATTTAGTTTCACATACAACAAAGAACGAACAGAGAGAGAAAGAGAGAGAAAAAACAAAATACAATGCTTATTACAAGCAACACAACAATTAGAATATCTCTTGATAATCATCATTAATTTGTGGACAATAACTTGAATAAAAATGTTCATCAATTAATTGTAAATGAAATTTTTTCTTTTTTTTCAACCATAGATTAAGTACAGATGCAAGTGTTCTTTGTTTAATATCAAATTTAGTCCATACAGAACGAAATAAAAATCCATGTAAAGGACATGATGGTGCAAATATCGATATACGATTACTTGATTGACGAAGATTATCTCGAAGTTTCAATGTAAAATTATATGAATTGATATTAATTTTATCTAATTGTAATTGCGTTAAATCAAATAAGGATTGAATAATAAATATTTTAACTGTTAATGGTAATAATTTAATCGCTTCACTACCTAATAAACATTTATAACGAGATTCTAATTGACATAATGATGAGATTTGTGTATTCCAATAAGCCATTCCTTGATTAATTTTTGATATACCATTTGGATTATCGGAATAATCAATAAACCATGCTGAATCAATAAGTACACGAATATCAATATGTGACGAAATTTTTGGTAATAAATCCGGAAGATTTAATAATAAACCTAAACCACCTGCTGAAAAACCTGTAAATATAATTTGTTTTGCATGTGAAAAATAATTTTGTTGATGAAATATTGCATGAAAAATATCATAGCCATGTGATGATGTTTTATTTGATGAACCTGACCATAAATCTGACGAACAATAAGGTGCATAGATAATATTAAATTGTTTAAATGATGAAAATATTCCTGAGAAAAATTTTTTTTCATTGATATTTTTTGTTGTGATTAAATCCGGAGAATATTGACGACGAAATTCACATGATTCATTTGAATAACAAAACCAACCACCATCAAAATAAATTAACCAACGTGAATGACGATTATTTGCTAAACGAATATAATATGATGCTATACTATTGTCCATACAACGTGCTTGAGGATAATTAATTAATGATATACGATGAAAATTTTGATCAGATAAATGTATTGATGATGATGATGATGATGATGTTGGAAGAATTTGTCGACGATAAACAAATGTTAAAATAATTAAACTTGGTATAGTTAAACAAAGAAATAAAATAATAATTCCTATTTCAATATGATATGGTTTATAATATGTTTTTGGTTTAATTAATTCTGGAGTTGAAGTTGGAGAAGATGAGATATACGATGTCATCATTAGATTTGAACAACTAGTTTTGATTTTACATATACATTGGCGTGTTCTTTTTCTCTTTTCGCGTTATACGTTAGGAAGAGAGAGAGAGAAAAAGAAACAGAGAGAGACGAGAGAGGGAGAGAAAAGAAAAAATATATATATTTTTTGTATATAAGAAATGATTAGTGATGGATAGCAGAACTAAATATTAATACAAATCAATATGTTCAACAAAAATGAATAACAATTCAATCATCATCATCACTCCATGACATATGAAAACTGTGAGAATTTTGTCGTTAAGATGAAAAAGTCTGACTATGATTTACTCTTAACTGTCAAGCTCATCATATGCACATACATATACTTAGTCTCTCTGTCTAGGTAACCTGTCGCCAAATAGAATTGCATTTGCAATTAGATCATTTTCGAGAACAGAACGAAACTATGCAATAAGTTTTAATTATGTATATCATGAGTAACAGCCGGAGACAATGCCAGATACTCAAGGATAGATAACAATATGTCACCATTCATGATTAATAATTTTTGCATATATATATATATATTTGTAAAGATGAACAATAAATTCAAAAGATATGTCATTTTACTTAAAAGTAAATGATCGTTTTGTCTTTATCTGATTGATTATGAACGAAATATATCCTTTTTTTTTTGATGAAACTTAACGAGAAAATTGTTGAACATCATAATGACACTGTTAAAATCATCAAAAATGAATTGTACAATTTCGAAGAGAGTGATACATTCGCAACATATTTTCTTTTATTCTTCTATTCACAATTGATAAGATACAGTTAAATGAATGCCATTAAAAGAACATTTAGAAGTATCGGGTATGTATAGAATTCATTTATATTAACGGTTTAATTTAATAATAAATAATTAACAACCAAGGATCATTGTCTCTATAACCCAAACAAAATAGATGAATCCTTCATTTATAGTCTAGTCTATAGTACTCATAATTATTTGTCAATGTAAAAGCACATATGCGTGAATTAATTGTTATTGATATCATTTATAATAGTAATATTTACTTAACGCTTCTTTAATGGTAGTAACTTGACTTAAGAAATCATATAGTTTTTCGTTTGAGATGGATGATTGGTTATAATATAAACAAGACAATTATTTTTATTATTGATGAACAAAGATACAATTGTATAGATATTTCTTTTTTGTAGGTTAAATTTAAACTATTGTTATCTATTGATCGTCTGACTTGTTTTTATAAATAACAAATCGATATTATCTATCGAAGAAAAATAAATGATTCAAATGGGTCATAGAGTGTAATGAGTCATGTCATCGATTGAAAATTTTCATTATTTTAGATTATAGTAGGGGGTAAATTGAATTCTATACTTTAATTGTTTTTCTTTTGTAAGATATTATATTGAATAAATAAGTATATCAAGTATTGCATCATATAGTATTTTTACCTTGAACTAGGAACGAAAGTTCACAATGTCATTCGTTCTTATTTTATAAAAATTTAAATAAATATTCAACAGGTTTCTTTTGTTTCTAGAATACAATGTCATGGATAAGTAAGCAGTTCAATAGCATACAAAAAAACAAATTATTATTGTTTTCAATGGTGTCTGCTTGAATTGGTTCGTTGAGAAGGTCGATTTCACAATTAACTGTACCAATTAATACTGTAACTATATAATCGTCAAGTAAAAAAAGACATGTCATTGCTTCGGTATTGGCAAATCTTTTTTCCTTTGACTTATAGAAAGCGAACATGTCGCAGCATTCAAGTAATCAACACATTCTGGATCGTTAATACATAACAAAAATATGATATAGGTGGTATCAGCTAGACGCCTCTCATATATAGTCTGTTCAAGTTCGACTATATTATCGTTTCCTTCGGTATCTACTGACACTCTGTATATATAGTTAAGAATACTAACAATTTTTTATTACGTCCATGATGTAACATTAATGACACCAGTGGTGTGTCACTGTTCGGCTGTCTGGTTAATAGTTATATGATCTTTAACTTTGAGATGACTATTTTAAAACCTTTAAGTATCATAAGACATTTTACTTTTATCCTTTGTACCAACAACTACTCGAAATAAAACGTTCACTAGTTTAAACGACTTTGATCTAGAAAGTCGTCTATGAAAATTTTTATCGTTAAAAGTACAAACAAATACATATTTTTTGTCATTGATCTAGTATCAAAAGCAATACAATATCAGATAAAATTGAGGTTAAATAGTATAGATTATTTCGTTCTCATTTTTATCTTATCATCCGCGAGGTCAAAAGAATATATATTTATATGATATGAAATAAATAAAGACAATATCTAAATACATCGACAACAATTGATAAGTCAATGTGAACGATCAGTAACAAGATATTTGCATACTACGCAGTTGCTATAAACCATAAAGAATTTAATTTTCTGAAAGACTATTAGAAATATATACAGTTCGAAGGGCAATGTTTTATTTGTGGCTATTATTTCATAGAAATCAAAAACCAATTGGCAAGATTAAAAATACATTTTCATAGAAATATAATATTTTTTATAAAAGAAATTTCTCGTTTATGCATAAAAAAAGTATAATTAGCAAAGATCATTATTTTTGTTGAAGATATATATAAACTCTATGTTTGAGTATCCATCATACACTAGATATAAAAATTAATTTTGTTTCTTCATTAAATAGGAAAGTAAAATATATTTACAGTTATTAGCTAAAACCTTTCGTGTATCAAATTATAAAATATTTTTCTTAGACATAAAAGTATATAATAATTAGCAGTAAGTTTTGCATACATATTAGAATAAAATAATATTTTACCAATAACAATTATAAGAAAATTGGTCAGTATCCTCATACATCACAAAGTCTACAAAAGAAAAGTTTGCAAAACTATACAGATGAATTCTGTAATCTCTTATTATTTTTTTCAACTACTCCTAGTGGTGATTTTAAATGAGAATGCTACTAAGTTACGATTTTCAATCAGTAGATTGAAAGTCAATAACTTGAGATTTAATTGAATGGATAAATTATTTTAACTTCATTATTTGATATTATTTCAAAAAATACATAATCAGTGAAAATGTATATCGTTGCGTATATATAAATTTATTCACGAATTGATAACGAAACTCATAGATAATACTCATAAGCGTTAATTTAACATTTTCTGATAAAATATTTCCCAGTTGTTTCTTTTCAGATTCATTTGCAAGTATTCAAAGACAATCAGCAATACCCCACGACTCAGAAATTGGTAACTCTAAAGAATTCTACATTTCATTAGTAAGGTGTGAGAGTCAATGTTTTTTGCTTATCACACCCACACTCACACCCATCGCTGGGCGAAATGTGTTTCCGGTGAAAGAAGTTTTCGGCAATAGGAGACTAAATCTGTTTGTACATCATTACTTCATTTTTTTAATTCGAAAGATGTCGCGTATTTTGTTTTTTTCTCATTCGTAAGATGTTGAGTATTGCGTTCCTCACTTTCACAATCGAAAACAAATAGTTAGCATCAAAAGCAACCTTACATTTGACTGTCAATAGCATATAACAAAATAACAACAAATAAATTTAGTAGTAAGATATCTTCATAAGAGAAAATTTTGCAAATGGAATCAAACGTAGATACAATTCGAGACAACATAAAACGATTAAGAATTCATTTTGAAAACGTTCGTGAAGATACTATTTCAGAACTTAATGAATGCAGTAATTATATTCGAACCAGCGAGAAGTTGTGTGATCAAGCAATAACAATGAACGGTAATTTAGAGAATGAACTAGCAAATGTGTCTAATGAAGAAAAAGAATGGCACGTGTACACAGAAGAAGAGAAATGTGCGAAACATCTGCGACATTCGAAGTACACGCTGGTTTACACGTTGCTGGCGTAAACAAAATGTACACGGTACACTCTACGAACAAAATTAATACTTTATTTTTAAGCCATAAATTGATTTCTTTTCTGTTTAAATTTAAATGTATATTGATACTAATATTGACGAATAATAAAAGGAATATTTCTATTCATGTCAGATTACATAATTATGTGCGTATTAATTTTGTTTTTAGTATTATTCAATACGCGTTTGTTTTACATTCTTCATTAGCAAAAAATATGAACACTTTCTATATTTCTAGATTATAATTAAATTCAATTTATACATTTTGGCACACTTTGCTTTCAAAAAACATAGTGTGCATGTACACTTTCTTAGGTTAAACAAAGTGTACTAAAATATTTTTCTTTTAAATTCCATTCGGAACCATGTTACCTACAGATATGATCACACTCAACGTTGGTGGTGTCAGATATATTACAAATGTTGATATATTAACGCGTGAGAACGATACTTTCTTCGCTGCACTCTTCTCAGGACGATGGCAACTTAAGCAAGATCCAAATGATAATAGTGTCTTTATTGATGGTGATGGAGAGTTATTTAAACATATTTTAGAATATTTCAGAACGAATAGCGTATTCAGTGATATAATGACGAATGAATCACTTCTTCGACGTCTTATTATAGAAGCAGAATACTTTTGTATAGACAATCTGATTTATAGATTAAAAGAACCTGATCGAAAACGTCAACAAAAAGAAAAAGAAGAAGAAGAGCGCTTGCGAATTGAGAATACTTTTCCAAATGGAACATTACTTCGTCTAGAACATAAAGTGAAACTTAATGAATTTTATGGTAACATTAATCAAAGATGGGAACTAATATACAAAGCAACGCGTGATGGATTTAGTGCCAGTGCATTCCATTCACGTTGTGACAATAAAGGACCAACAATAAGTATTATTCAATCAAACAATAACTATATATTTGGAGGTTATACAAGCATTGCATGGACTTCATCTCAAAAGTATCAGAATGATGAAACAGCATTTTTGTTCACATTAACAAATCCTCACAATATTCCACCTACTAAATATACTATCAGGTCTGATCACACAACACATGCCATTTATGATGATAGCCGCTGTGGACCTAGATTCGGCAGCGGCACCGACATTTGTATATATGATAGCAATAACAGCAACAATTTTAGGTGCAGTATTTATCCTCTTTCATACGATGATACAACTGGCAAAGGTAACAAAACGTTCACAGGAGCTAATTGGTTCACTATATCTGAGATTGAAGTGTTTAAATTAGCTTAAAACATTGTGTTTACTACTTGTTTTGAAATTTAATCAAGAACAAAGATTTTAACCGTTTTTTTCTACAATCTATTTTTTAGTATATCTATTTTTTTGTGAAATTAATTCGCTTGTAATAAAATTTTAAAAAAATAATAATTTTATGTTTTACTTTCTATTGATTGTTTCTTATGAATGTAAATTTTATAGATACATCAATACGGTCACTAAAAGATTTCTGTTTTTACTTCGCCCAAGAAAACTAAGCATAATACGTTTTTTCCCATGAGCGTTATTCGTGCATGATTCATGAGTGTGAGTGAATATGTTTTGTTTATTGCATGCACATTCACACCCTTCGTTCAATAAAATTCTATTCATTTTCTGAATTATCGATATATTTGAACACTTAGAATTTATTGAAATTAGTGAAAAAAAATATTTCAATCAAACTTTATCTTAGACATCAACTATAAAGAACTTGTTGATGTGCCTCTTTTATCAAATAAAACAAAAAATTTCTACGATATTAAATGAAATAAATGTATATGTTTTGAAAAGTTTACTGAAAAAGGATTTATAATTTATTCACCATTTAGCATAATTGCTTTCAACAACACCCGAACCATTTGAAATGGTATAGGTGTTACCAAGCATTTGTATTGTTCCACTAAATAAACCAAATGCTTGAACAAATTGAATATTAACTACAACAAGATTATCATGTTGTTGATGACTACCCAATGGTTGAAATTGAAGATCAATTTTTGGATTATCTTCAACTGTTATAATTTGCCATGGTTGAGTAAGTAAGAATTGTTCTGTTGGTGTTTGAATATTAACGAAATGATCGATTGTATAAACCTGACCATTTATCCTAAAATAAAATATAGATAAAAATTTTCAATATAATATAAAACATACCACACGGCATTTTCCATTGATATATTATTTTTATCATCATAAAGGTCATTAGATAGATTAATTCCAATTGTAACATATCCACCGTTTGTTATATCTTGTGCTTGTACTGAGAATGAAGCCCTAAGAAAACAATATCAATTACAAAATAGATTTTCTATTAATAAATAATTACCATTTCCAACGAGTAACTCGTTTTTGATAAGCTAAAGTCCAATCTGTTGTACCTAAACCAGTAAATGAACTTTCTGGAAGAATATTTCCAATTTTCATTGTTCCTTGTGTAGGTTGTGTTGCTAAATGATGTGTATATGCAGGTTGAGTTGGTTTAAATGGATAAAGTAAAACCAATGATTGATCACTTACACTTGAATAATTTATTTGAAACGCAAATGAAACTTGAATATTATTATTTGTTGTTACATTTACACTAATTTCATATCTATTCTCTTGTTGATTATAACAATGACGAATATATTCTGATAATGATCGATAAAAAAAGGTACAACCTGAAATAGATGATTTAGTACGTTCTTTGATATCAACTGCTAAAATTGAATTTGTCGTATAATTATATAATTCTCCATTTGTTATATCATAAACATAAACAAATGCATTTGCAATATAATTTAAATTAATAATTGTACTGACAATAAAATATTGTGGTGTAGAAATGGATATAAAATGCCAGTTTTTTTCTGTAACGAAATTACATAATGCTGGCGATACCCAGGAAAAATCAACGGTAGGCAAGGGTTTCTTAAACCGACCATAATCTTTTGAATTTGCCGGTGCAGTTTCTTTTATTTGGCCAAGATTATCAGGATTGGATGAATCTAGAGTTGTTAAAAATATAACTTATGAATGAAATTTTTCTTTACCATTTTCTTCTAATATTGAAAAATAACAACCACCACAGAAATTAGATATACAAGCAGGTGTTAAACTTGAACATGTTTGTTGCTAATCAAATAGAATTTATATAGAAATAAAAAATAATTTTTTCATAGAAACACTTACTAAGCATGGATTTACTAAACATTGAAAGATATTAGGATTTACTAAACATTGAAAGATATTAGGACTTAATAAACATTGAAATGGATTCACAAAAGCATCTATAAATAAAATGAAATTATATGAATAGTAAAACCATCAATTTTTACCGATGCGAGAGATCGATGCAAAAATGAGAACAACAACGATTAAATTTGAAGTTTTCATTTGTTTTGTTTCACTTTTTGTTTCTATTTTCATTTATATACAATGTGAATAGTATATATCTACATAAATCTTGTTACATATGTGACATGTCAGGTGATGCTGCATCTGATATCAGACATAATATTATTTTTATTGTCGAATAAAAATAGATTAAATATACGATTATTTTCAGTTGATATACACTTGATGTCAATTTATTTATCTGATAATGAAATGGCGTGATATTTATAATCTAGAGAGATCTTGATGTATCCCATCATTTTCATGGAACAGTCTGCTTAATTACGTATGTTTCATAATCCGTTAAAATTACTGAATTATTCTAAAATTTACTTATTTATTATAAAATATATTTAACTATATTAATCTTTCAAGTGTCTATATATTCTTGATATTGATGACTGTTCTTTTCAGACATTACAAATATGCACCGTCTAGGCCAAGATATTTTTAGAAACTTCATTTTATCGTATATTAATAGATTATCTGTATATGTCAGTAGATGTCTTGACATTTATTTAAGTACTTGATTTAATATATCTAATAACTAACAATCGAAAAACATACTTTCTCTTTGATCTATTTTCAGCTTTTATATAAAATTAGATTTAGTCATGGAATATTATCAGATATACAATATATCAATTTCAATCGAAAACTTTGACTAAAAACTACATCGATGATAAATTAATAAGTCATCATTCATGCATGAATGAAGTTCATGAAAAATGGTGTCCCATTTGTAATTTTCTTGAGCGAAGTAAAAAAAGAAATCTCTTAGCAATCATATTGATTTTAGAAGAAACAATCGACAAAAAGCAAAGCATACAGAATTATTACTTTTTACACCTCTATTATAAACGAATTGATCTTACAAAAAAAACCGATACAATAAAAATCGATCTTAGAAATGAATAGTTACAACTTTTATTCTACATTAAATTTAATAACAAGCAGTGAACACAATCATCTAAGCTAATTTATATACTTCAATCTCAGATGAAGTAAACTTCAGAGCGCCTGTGAACGTATTTTTACCGTAGCCCGTTGTATCATTATACGATTGAGAAAAATTACTATAGCTAGAATTATTGCTGTTACTATTATCTGATATGATAATGTCGTGACCACTGCCAAATATAGGCCCATAGCCATTATGATCATAAATGGCATTTGCTACGCGGTCAAACTTGATAGTATATTTTGTAGGTGAAATATTGTAAGGATTTTTTAATGTGAACAAAAATGCTTCTCCATCATTTCTGCACTGTCCAGCTGAAGTCCACGAAACACTTGTATAACCTCCAAATATATAGTTATTGTTTGATTGAATAATTGTCATTGTTGGCCCATTATAATCACACCATGAATGAAATGCCTTAGCACGAAATCCATCACGCGTTGCTTTGTATATAAGTTCCCATTTTTGATTACTCTTACCATAAAACTCATTAAGTTTCACTTTATGTTCTGGCTGAAGTAATGTTCCATTTGGAAAAGTATTCTCAATACGCAAGCGCTCTTCTTCTTGACGTTTCCGTTCAGGTTCTGTTAGTATATGAATTAGATTATGTATACAAAAGTATTCTGCTTCAATAATAAGAAGTTGACGAAGTGGTTCATTAGTCATAACATCATTGGGTATGCTGTCCGTTCTTAAATATTCTAGAATATGACGAAACAACTCTCCATTTCGATCAATGAAGATACTATTATCATTAGGATCTATTTGAAGTTCCCATCGTCCTGAGAAGAGTGCAGCGAAGAAAGTATTTTGCTCACGTGTTAATATATCAACATTTGTAGTATGTTTTACACCGCCAACATCAAGTATAACTTTCCCTTTAATTGATGTTGCTGATAGTTTGAGTTTAATATCTTTCCATTTGTTTTCTTTATTAAATGCATTCACGAGTTTATTTTCTAAATCATCATTGAATTGTATTGCTTGATCATACAACTCTTCAGTGGTTCGGATATAATCAATATATTCATTAAGTTTCGAGATAATATCTTCACAAACTTTTTCAAAATGAGTTCTTAATTGTTTTGTGTTGTCTGAAATTGTATCTAAGTTTGATTCCATTTGCAAGATTTTTTCTTATGAAGATGAAGATATTGTGTTAGTTGAATGTATTTGTTGTTATCTTATTGTATGCTATTGATAGTCAGTTTTAACGTTGCTTGTAATATTGACTGTTTTGTTTTCGTTTCTGAAAGTAAATAAAACAATAGTCAAAACCGTATTATGACAGAAATGTTGATTTTATCCTTTATTCTACTATATATTTAAGGAAAGTGAATCAGAAGTGGCTGACTGACTGAGTGACTTACAATACATTAGTATAGCTATATTTATAGATGCATGCGAAAAGAACAAAGAGAGAAAGAAAGAGATAAATGACGGACGGATCAGAATCCGTCATACTTATAAATTAAAAAAATGAGATAATAATGCATAAACGGTAAATATTTATCTCTACCTTTTCTCCTCCAACCCTCCGCTACATCACATTATAGAATGTGACATGAAGTAAGACTGGTTAAGGGCTTTGTCCATACATGTCTGCTCTCTTTCTTTTCTTTATACATATATGTTGTAGGCAAAATTCAGTCAAATTTTAATTTTGACTAGTCAGAATTGAAATTTCAATTTTGCCTAATATATTTTCAGTCAAAATGCAAAGTTTAAATTTGACTAGACGAAATTCAAATTTGACTGGATTTGAATTTTGCCTACAAAAAAAAATATATATATATAATATTGCGTTCTCTTTGATAAGTGTTCTTTCGAAGTCTTTCTCTTGGTCTCTTCTTATCATTTATATTTAGGTATTTTCCAATTTGATCGTATTTGTAGTATTCTATATAAGAATCTGTAGAAGTAGTGGTGAGGATGTGTGTGCACGTTACATGATAACATTAAATAAACTATATATGCATCAATAAAAATTGCACGCAACACGCTGTACACTAGCAACATGATCAAGACTTTCTCCTTCTCATAAATTTAACAATTCAAAGATGGAATCTTTATATTATTCTATAAATTAATAATATTCATTCACATATTAAACAAGACATAAATGATAAAATGAGCATAATCGACTTACTTCGATTGTCTTTATATCAATCGTACACTGCTTAAAGCATAGCTTTTCAAAAGCAATACTTTTCAGTTAAACAGCATAGTCATTTCAAATGTGGCGCCTATACAAAAATATCGTAGCTAATTGATTCAAGTAGTTATTTAAGCCCATAAATTATTTAAATAGATGATTCCTTTCCGAATGAATTTCGGATTTATTTTATTGGATGGCTGACTATCAAAAATCTGTAAATTTCTTTTTGTCGCGATTATTTATCAAGTGCTTTCAATTGCTCATAAAATGATATACATTAAAAAATCAAGTTTTGTTACGAATGAAATATATATTTTAAATAATAATAAATATTTCATTTTTTTTCACAACTCCTGCTCGGAAAAAAATAGTAGCTTTAAGTAAATAGCGAAGATTTTTTTAAATAGCTGCTCATGAATATACATATATATTACATGTAAATAAATATATCAGAATTATTTAACTAGCTATGAGATATTTATGAAAGAATGACGTATTAAAAACTATTAAAGTTATACACTAGTCGACGTTCTTGTCCTTTTCTTTCCAGGTTCTTGTTTTTCTTGCTTTTCAAGGAAGATTCTTTTTCTATTCCTTACATGCAAGATTCTTGCCTGAAAATTCCTTACATACAAGATTCTTGTCTGAAAAAACTGATCTTGCCTTTCTTGTGAGATTCGTGTAGACCGAA